GGGGGGGGGGGGGGAAAGGCAAGCCTTTCTGTTAGGGAAAGATAAACATCAAGGTTCCTAATGGCTCATTGAAAGGTTGATGGCTTACCCTGCAAGATGTCTGGGGTGCTGTGGAGGGAGCATTGTTCGAGGAGTTTGGACTTGGGGGAGAGGGGAATATCGTGTGAAGGGGGGGCGAAAGTTAGAGGGATATTAAACCTGCTAGCACCAGGTGGTTGGGTCCCTTTTGTTCTCCTACTCAGCCCCTGAGAAGGAGTTCCCCCTGCCTGGCACTGCTGTTGGAGTCTGCCCTGGCCCCTTGCCAGCCCTTGCTCTAGCCGCTGAGAGGAGCCCCGAGGAGAGCCCCTGCTGCCCCCGACCAGGGCGTTCCCTTTGTGTGGGGGCAGTGGAGTTGCCTAGCAGTGCCGATGGGGCACCAACACAGCTTGTGGTCACCATTATCATCACTGCTGCTGGAGCCCACCAGTGCCCCCTGCTGTTTGTGGTTATAACTGCACCAAAAGGGGAAGTAGTACTTAATTGTTTGAAAGTTTTGGTTACAGTGTTGTTGCTTGTTCTGTTTTTGTTCTATATATTTTTTGTAAAGAACTGTTATTCTCTTTTTCTGAAGGACAACTAATTTCAAAGTTATAAAAACTTGGAGGGAAGGGAGGGTTTTCATTCTATTCCAGGAAGGTTCCCACCTTCCTTGGCAGACATTTGTCTTTTTAAATTAGGACATCCAGGCACAGATCCAGGCATAAAACTGGATAGAAAGCATATTTCACTGCTTTCCCCACACTGAAGCAGCAGCTGAAGAGCTCTTTCCAGCAGCTGCAAATGCATGATTGCACCTCCAGTTAATGGAAGAAGAGTAAAAACCTCAGAGCCGCCTCAAGTCTAGCCTGTGCATCTCTCGGATGATTACAAGTAATTGTATCAGTACCAATTTCAGATGTTTAGACTGCAAACCCATCCAGAGGCTTCTCCAAAGCACATTGGATGATTTAAGTAGATTGATTGTGCTTAGTGCTGCAGGTTAAATGGAGATGAGGAGGAGGAGCAGTGATGTGAGTACTGGCAGGGTACTCACTGGTGCCTGAGTACTGGCAGGATGGATATGCAGACAAAGGCTAAGAGAGGACACAGTCCATCTGTCTCTTAAAGCACTTTAAAACTGGTTTACCTGAAGGAGTCAAAAGTGTTGGCAGCCCAGATGTCCGTGCCCAGCATGTCAAGGGAGCTCTCCTTGTTTTCATTCTAGGAGGGAGGGAAAGGCGGTTACTTGCCAGAAGGCATGCAGCGCTATGCAGACCATGACACAGCCTGGCACAGCCTCTCCCACCATCAGCCACAGAGGTGTCCCAGCTGTGCATGTAGGCTCCTCTGCTCCCATGTGAATCCACGCTCACTACAACACAAAGTCCCCTCGCCCACTGCAAAAGTGTACCATAAAGGCAAGGAGTGACACAGTTTTAGCCTTGGAGACACAAAGCTGTGGACAGCATGGAGCAGACAATTTATAGACTTAGCTCTGACTCCAGCCCTGTTCTCCTGCCCCACTGTCCACAACCTCCAAGACCCACTAAGGTCCAGTGGGTGCAGTGACATCCCAATCATGAAGACACAGTTTCAGAGTCACAGACCAGTTGAGGTGGGAAGAGACCTCTGAAGCTCATTTGGTCCAACCCTCTTGCTCAAGCAGGGCCACCATCATAGAATTGTTTGGGTTGGAAGGGACCTTTAAAGGTCACCTAGTCCAATCAGGTGCCCAAGACCACATCCAGATGTCTTTGAATATCTCTAAGGATGGAGATACTCTTCACCAGCAGCTATCAGAGCCTATTGTCACCAATAAGGATGGGGAAAGTCATCCTGCTTCTTCAAAGAGTCATGGTGACATGACTTGTCTGCTCCAAGAACAGGTGGAGGAACGTTGGAATCCTGTACCGTGCCACCTCTGCCATGCACACCAGTAAATGAGTTTACACGGTTATTCTGGTACACATTCCACCAACACTAAGGTGAAGGTTCCTTCCTCTGAGAAGCAAAAGCATCATGGTACAATCAGGTGGGAATTATGAGAAACTTCCAGCAAACTGCAAAGCACCTTGAATTTTCCTGTGCAGTTGCTCTTGGCAAAACTGGCAACCTAAAGCAAGAGCATATAAAGCAAAGACCTTAAACTCATCCTTCAAGACCTCTTTACAGTCATCGGCCCTCACATGTCCTCCCTGCAGAAAGAGGGCTGCCCTCTCTACCCTTTAAAGGTGAAGAAGGGTTGTATTTTGCCATTCAAGATCATTCAAGAAACCGGATGACTCAGACTCACATGGGACGGACACGTAAATGCATCACAAATAGGGTATCCCATATTACCAATTTATTCATAATCTTGAACATGTTCAGATTATTGAAGTATTTCAGCCAAAATAGTCCCACTCTAGTGAAACACATGCTGGAGAAGGTGGCTTCCATATATTCCCCATTGTATAATTTCTGTAATTTTCAAATATTATTTATAATAACCAAGACACTAAAACCTCATAAAAATATGACCATTTCTTAATGAAGTCCCAGACCTCAATCTGCCTAAAAAGTGAGGAATCTTTTCCCAATGAGCAGGATGCACATCCTCAGTGCACACTACAGATGGCCACAATTTGCAGCCATTCCCAGCACAACCAATTTAGACCTCAGATAGTCCAAACACAGCCACATTGCTCCCCTTTTTTTTGTCTCCTCTAAAGGGTTTATGGACTATGATTTTAACCTCCAGGGATATGCAGGTTAACATGTCTTCACACAGAAAGAAACCACTAGAAATATATAAAATTCTCATGATCAGTTATGGAAGCCAATCTTTTTATTTTAGGCAAATGTAAGCATGATTTTCTCCCAATGTGCTGGTTTCAACTGGGATAGAGTTAATTTTTTTCACAGTGGCTGGTATGGGGCTGTGTTTTGGATTTGTGCTGAGCACAAGGTTGATAATATAGAGATGTTTTTGTTATTGCTGAGCAGGGCTTACACAGAGCCAAGGCCTTTTCTGCTTTCCGTACTGCCACAGTGGCAAGGAGACTGGGGGTACATGGGAAGCTGGGAGGAGACACAGTCAGGACAGGTGACCCAAACTGACCAAAGGGATATTCCAGATCACATGACATCATGCTCAGTATGTAAAGCTGGGGGGGAAGGAGGAGGGGAGGCTTGGAGTAATGGCACTTGTCTTCCCAAGTAACCATTACACATGATGGGGCCCTGCTCTCGTGAAGATGGCTGAACACCTGCCTGCCCATGAGAAGCAGTGAATTAATTTCTTGTTTTGCTTTGTTTGTGTACGCAGCTTTTGCTTTCCCTATTAAACTGTCTTTATCTCAACCCACAAGTTTTCTAGCTTTTACCCTTCCTAATCTCTCCCCAATCCTGTTGGTGGGGGGGGTGAGCAAGCGGCTGCATGGGGCTTGGTTGCTAGTTGGGGTTAAACCATGATAGCCATCAAGGAGATAAATTAGTTTTCTAAATCCTTAGGAGCATTCCCATGCAGTATAATGAAAATACACATGGGCAGTTCTTTTTAGCTATCATCCAAAGAAGAGATACCTCTTCTTGCAGACAAATCCATTTCATTTCATAGAATCATAGAATCATTAAGATTGGAAAAGACCTCTAAGATCATCGAGTCCAACCATTAACCCAGCACTGCTAAGTCCACCACTAAACCATGTCCCCAAGTGTTTCCTATGGACATGGAATATTATAAGTACCTGTAAATGAGCCAGCTACAATAGGATTTCTTAAGAGTAAAGTATTTGGGTTCAGGGGGAAAGACTGGGAATGTGTAACCAGTTAAAATGAGGCGGAGATAAACAAAGCCTGATAAACAATGCTGGCAAACTGGTAAATACAGATGAGGAGAAGGCTGAGGTACTCAACAACTTTTTTGCCTCAGTCTTCACTGGCAACCTTTCTTCCCACACCTCTCAAGTGGGTGGACTGCAAGACAGGGACTGGGGAAAGAAAGTGCTTCCCGCTGTAAGTAAAGATCAGATTTGTGAACACCCAAGGAATCTGACTGTACATAAGTCCATGGGACCTGATGAGATGCATCCCAAAGTCCTGAGGGAATTGGCTGATGTAGCTGCCAAGCTGTTGAGAGAATCTTAGATGATGCAGGACATATACTGCTTCAGGTCTGCTTGCACAATCTGGCCTGCGTGCCGGACGGCAGGGACCTGTGTTCTCCAGCAGCAGATGTGTGTCCTTGAGCAGCAGATATCAGAAAGCTGCATAGAGGAAAACAAGGAAGGAGGATGTTATCCAGGGTGTGAGAAACCAGAAGATGGGGGGGCCTGGAAATGTGCCTTGGCTAGTAGAGCCAATAAAGTTATAGATATCGTGTGTGAAAGTGAATGCAACCAATAGAAAGTTAGAATAGAGCGTGTGAACCCTGTAGGACCCTTGATAATGTGTGTATTTTTGGAATAAAGTGAGAGCATTGACTGTACCTCCATGAGGATGTGTCTTTGACTCTGGAGCTCCTTTTTTGCATCTTCTCGTTTTACCAAGCCACTCTCCATGATATTTGAAAAGTCATGGCAGTCAGGTGAAGTCCCTGGTGACTGGAAAAAGGGAAACATTGCACCCACCTTCAAGAAGGGTAGGAAGGAGGACCCTGGGAACTACCGACCTGTTAGCCTCACCTCTGTGCCTGGAAAGATCATGGAACAGATCCTCCAAGAAGCTATGCCAAGGCACATGGAGGACAGGCAGGTGATTCATAGAATCATAGAATCATAGAATCAGCCAGGTTGGAAGGGACCTCCGAGATCATCAAGTCCAACCGATGGTCCACTACCGCCATGGTTACTAGACCATACCACTAAGTGCCACATCCAGTCTCATCTTAGAAACCCCCAGGGACAGAGAATCCACCACTTCCTGGGAAGCTGTCTCAGTCTGAGGGGACTGGAATGTTTGCTAAAGAGGATGAGTTATGAGATAGACCTAACTCCTCTCTCTCAGCAATTGTAAATTCAAAATTTAGGGGTTTTAATCGATGAAGTGTGGAAAAAAACCCAGAAGAAATAACAACCCTTTATTAAAAGATATATGTATGTTGGCAAAAACAGTAACAGAACACAAAAAAACTAGACAGTAGTCCTAGAAAAAAAACAAAAAAAAAGTCTGAATAAATGCTTCTCTGTCCTTTAGTGCAGTCCTAATCGTGGCCTGCAGGGGGCGCTGTTGGATCGCTGAAGGTGCAGAGTTTGCAGTACTCTGTGGTGGTCAGCAGGGAGCGCTGTTGGGCTCTGGTGGTCACCACGCAGGGAGGGGGGTCTCGAATCGCGGGAGAAGCCGAAAGGAAAAACGGAGACCCTTCCCCCCAATGGGAGAAAGGCAGAAGGAAAAGCAGCTCACCCCTACGGGACTCACTGTTCCCAGATGACGGTGTTCCAAGGCTCTCCCCTCCTCTCCCAGCAAGCACAGACCTCTCCGATGAAAACAAGAAAAACAACCAGTAGGTCCCGGCGGGAGTCATAAGGCAGTGGCGGTGCAGGGTCGGTGGTCAGGCCTCACCAGGACGAAAGAACCAGAAAAACTGGCTCCCAGGCTTTTCCTCCAGAAATGCCCGGATACAGTCCCTGTCTCCGTCCCGGCGAGAGAACACCGTGGTCTGACCTGTCCTCTGTCCCGGCGGCCAGCTCTCCAAATCTCCCCAAACCTTCCCCCCCTCACTCCAGCCTTCGAATGGGCCATTAGCATGGAATGCAGTCTGTCCAGCCATTTCTTTTGTAAGGCTAATTGATTCCCTTCCCCCTTCCCTATTCGAACTCTGTTTCTCTTACAGGGAAGCAGGGAAAGAAAAATATTCCTCTCTCAGATTTATAACCTATAACAGAAGTCCATTCCAATGCCTGATTACCCTCTCTGTAAAGAATTCCTTCCTAATATCTAACCTAAACCTCCCCAGCACAGCTTAAGACTGTGCCCTCTTGTCTTACTGATAGCTGCCTGGGAAAAGAGACCAACCCCTACCTGGCTACAACCTCCTTTCAGGTAGTTGAAGAGAGTGATGAGGTCTCCCCTGAGCCTCCTCTTCTCCAGGCTAAACAACCCCAGCTCCTTCAGCCTGTCCTCATAGGACTTGTGCTTGAGTCCCTTCGCCAGCCTCGTTGCTCTTCTCTGGACCTGCTCCAGTACCTCAATATCCTTCCTGAACAGAGGGGCCCAGAACGGGACACAGTACTCAAGGTGTG